GGAAGTCTTTCTGGAGGTTAGCAGTATTTGAGTTGGGCTCTGAAAGATATCCAATAGGAAAAGAGGGAAAATAAGGGGAAGAGGTGAGACAGGACAGAGCATGTTGGAGTGGGGGAAGATCATTCCAGTCTGACCGAAGCATAGAGAAAATGGAGGGAATATGAGATAAGACTGGGAATGTAGACTGAGGCAACATTACATAGGGCTTTGCACTCCCGATTTGGGAAAAAGGAAGACTCTGAAGATTTTTCTTTTTAAAGACCAGATCCACACCCATAAACCAGTCACCTCCTTAGTCTCTTACACAACTTTTCAGCTTTTGTTGCCACCACACCACTAAAAACTGATCTCTGGAATTCACCACTGGCCTTCTCATAGTCATATTCAACAAACTTCTATTAATCTCATCTTCCTTAACCATTCACGAAACTGTTAGCATTTCTTCCATTTTTGAGATTTCCTCCTGCCTTGTTTTTGTTGTTGTTTTTATTGTTTTGGGGTTGGTTGTTTTGGGGGATTTTTTTTTTGAGATTACACACACACAGTCCTAATTTGCCCTACCTCTTCAACATGCTTGGTTTCCTTCACTAGCTCACCTTCTTAATCCTTTAATGGTCATTCAACATTCTGTCTTTGACTCTGTTCTCTCCCTACTATGTTTTCTCCCTTAGCAACCTGTAACATTTTGTAAAGGGAGAAAACATATGAACTGGAGAAGGAAATGGGAAACTACTCCAATATCTTTGCCAAGAAAACCCAATGGGGTTTTACCTCAGTTTCCTCCTCTGTAAATGAGCTAGAAAAAGAAATGGCAAACCACTCCAGTATCTTTGCCAAGAAAACCAAAAAAGGGGCAAACAACATTTATTTTAAAAAGTGAAAGAAAATAGAAGAAAATGTTTAAAAAAGAAAACCAGTTCATTCAAGCATTTACTACCACATGCCTCTAACCTTAGCATGTCATTTATTATACCTACCTCAGAGTTATGAGGAAAATACTTTTTTCGCATAGGGTCCAAGAGTCAGACATGATCGAAAAGAACTCGACCACATGATCAGTTTATGATCTAAATTCAGTCCAACTTTTGATCAACACTCCTCCCCATCCTGCTCCCTGTGAAATTTCATTCGTTTTGATAACAGTCTCTGTGCAGTGAGGATCAGAAGATCATTTATGACATAAATGAGATAATGAAGTGACTGAACACCTGTATAAATTCCCTTTATTGATTATCTCCAATTTATCTTGTACATGGTTTGCATGTTGTCTCTCCCATTAGACTCAGCTCCTTGAGAGGGTGATGTCATGTATTAGTAAAAGTAAGAAGTTCAATTTGGTTTGACTAATAGCATCAAACTCCAATGGATAGGCATCCAATTTATATTATGTGGGTATTTTGCATACATTTTGCATGTGGGAGTAGATTGTAGGCCTGTTAGGAGAGGGTTGATTACAAGTAGATGTTGTTTCCTCTGGGCTTGGATTATGAGTCTTATTTGTTTCATTAACTCATAGATAAATTGTTTCTATTTTGAGCCTTGGAAGCTTATGTGCTTGTAAGAGGACTTGGTGGTCATAACCTGTGTGTTTTACAAGGGTGTATATGTCAGATGCTAAAGGTTCCTGGTCACCTGGCAATAAGATAGAGAAGTCTCCCAAAGTATTTTGAGGTCATACATATCAGGCAGGAGCTTCTGATAAAAGGTTAAATACATATGTGATATACAGGGCCATATAGCTGAAATTGCATAGTTTGGTATAATGAAAAAGTCATCGAATTTGGAGTCCTGGGCTCAAATCCTGACTACTTAATATTGTGACCTTGGCAAATCATTGCACTTTAGTGGGATTCAGCTTGTTTATCCATGAAATTAAGGCATTAGATGGACTAGATGATTTCTAAATACAAATTTTAAATACTATGAACCCTATACACATTGTGTCAACCAAATCACAATGCTTTCATTCCTGAATCCTCTATCATTCCCTATAAGAGATAATAACTCATTTATATAGTGCTTGAAAGTGCTTTCCTCATAACTCTGAGGCAGGTGGTAATAAATAACACATTAAGGTAAGTATGTGGTAGTAAATGATTGAATGAGCTAGTTTTCTTTTTTAAATATTTTCTTATATTTCACTTTTCAAAATAAATGTTGTTGTTTGTCTGCCCCTTTTGTGGTTTTCTTGGCAAAGATATTGGAGTGGTTTGCTGTTTCTTTCTCTAGCTCATTTACAGATAAGGAAACTGAGGTAAACAGGGTTAAGTGACTTGACCAGGGTCACACAGCTAGTTAATGTCTGAGGCTGAATTTGTTTTATTGGTTTTGTTTTGTTTTGACAACTGGGGTTAAGTGACTTGCCCAGGGTCACACAGCCAGTAAGTGTCAAGTGTTTCGTCTGAGGCAGGATTTGAACTCAGGTCTTCCTGACTCCAGGGCTGGTGCTCTTTCCACTGTGCCACCTCGCTGCCCCTGAGGCTGAATTTGAACTCAGGAAGATGAGTATACCTGAGTACAGGCCCAGAAGTCTACCCACTGTGCCACCTAGGTGCCCCCTTAAAATAAATAATATTACATAAAATTCAAAGAAGTGTAGTGTTGTATAGTGGTGAAAAGGCTAGCCTTAGAGTCAGGAAGACCTGGGTTCAAGTCACCCAGGTTCACAACCTTGGAGTCATCTTCAACTCCTGTTCCCTCACCCTACCTTTCTCATCATTTACCAAACCTTCACAGTTCTACCTTCACGACATCTCTTGAACCTGTCCTCTTCCTCACACTCGGCCTCCACCGTAATTCAGATGCCCATTGCTTCTTGCCCAGACTATCCACGATACCCTCCAAATTGGTCTCCCTGAGACCTGAGACACTATAGCTGACTACAGTCATTTTCCTTTGGTTTAGGTCTGACCTACTCAGCAAACTCCCATGGCTCCCTATTACCTCCAGGATCAAATGTAAGCTGTTCTGCATGACATTTAAAGCTTAGTCCACACTAATCACTGAATCTCCAGCCAAACTTGCCTTCTTAATGTTCCCAGCTCACAATATTCTATCTCTGTGGCTTTATTACTTGTATTTACCTTGAATTTATTTTTCATATGTCTTATGTACCTGTATGTATATATTGTGTCCCTCTATAGTGAATATAAGTTTCATGAGGGCAGGGACAGTTTGTTTCACTTTGGTGTTTGTATCACCAGCACTTAGAGGAAACACATGGCTAAAGGAACCATCTCCTGGGGCACTTTACAAGTGGCTTTTTCCAATTTCATGGTGATTTTATAGTGGCTGATGATAATTTATATCCTAAGCGCTCAAACATTATGTCTCATCTACTTTGTACTCCCTTTCTCACCCCACCCCATGCAAAGGTTCAGGGAAAGTATCATATTCTCACCAATTGTCTTTTAGTGACCTCAATTACTTGGACAACTGGTCACTTGGTCAAATTACCCAATTATCTCGCCCTCACCCCCACCAAATATGGAGGAGAGGGAATGAAAAAGAGCCCAATATCCTCAGCACCCAAGGTATGAGGAGAGATTTAAAATTGTCGTTGCATTAACTCTTTAGTGCAATTACAATATAAGTTCTCTCTCTCTCTCTCTCTCTCTCTCTCTCTCTCTCTCTCTCTCTCTCTCTCTCTCTCAGGAACCTTAACTTCCTTCAAAGCACACCTCAGGTGCCACCTCCAACAAGGGGCTTTGCCTGATTTCACCCATTGTTAATGTTTTCTCTCCTTGAAATTAATTTGTACAACTCTGCATGTACTTGAATTAATGGTGTATGAGTTGTATCCTGTTATGCTTTTAATGGAATGTAAACTTTTGAAGGCAGGACAATTCCTATTTTGGGTGGAGGCGTCCTTGGTTGGGACAGAAAGGCCATTTCATCCACCACCATCCCAATTTTACAGAGAAGGAAACTGAGACCCAGAGAGGCTAAATATTCAGCTTTTATAAGCAGCACCCCAAATGCCTAGCACAGAGCCTTGAATGGGGCAAGTACTTAATACATGTCATTGAACTTAATTGCATTGGATCTTGTACTTCACTTTCTCTTTTAAATTTTGTATCTTTGGGTGTTCCTATCACCTTCACCTGCACATATCTCTCCCTTTTCCAAGGAGTCATCCTTTGTGACAGAGAGAGAGAGAGAGAGAGAGAGAGAGAGAGAGAGAGAGAGAGAGAGAGAGAGAGGGAGAGAGAGAGAGTTCAGCAAATGAACAACACACCAACTGTATCTGACAGTATGTGCAATCTCCCTCCACCCATCTGCAAAGAAGAGGAGATGCACCTCATCTCTTCTGGTTTTTCATGTGGTATATTTGGGGGGGGGGGAGATGCTACTTCCTTTCATTTTATTTTGGGGGGGGCTAGGCAATGGAGTTAAGTGACTTGCCCAGATAGTCACACAGATAGTAAGTGTTATGTGTCTGAGGCCCGATTTGAACTCAGGTCCTCCCAAATCCAGGGCTGGTGCTCTATCTACTTCGCCACCTAGTTGCCCCCCTTTCATTTTTTTAATTGCTGAAATAGATTCTGCATTTTGTTGCCCTGGTTCTGTTGACTTCACTTTGCATCAGTTCGTATGTATTCCCGTGCTTATTACATCCATGTACCAAAATTTGCTCAGCCATTCATTCCCCCCATGAAGGGCACGTACATTGTTTCTACTTTGTTACTACAATGAGTGCTGCTAATAATATTTGGGTGAATCTTTAACCTCCTTGGGTTGTCCAGTTCACTTTAAAATGTCGAGGGGTTTTTTTAATACACTAATTTTCACTATATTGAACTATTGTAGAGAATTAGTGCAGATGGACAAGTGAGGAAGATAATTTACCTTCTCCAAAAACAAAACAAAACTCAGAAATGTACAGATTTGGTTGGCTTGAGGCTGTAAATCCTTTGGTTAAATTCAAGTTTACCTCCTAGCCTTAAAGCACAGGTCCAGTAGTTGTGACCTCAGCAAAAGGGTGTGGTTTTTTTTTTCAGGCAGGTGAAACTTCAGACCAGATATACACTTTGGAAGAATTAAGAGTCAGAAACCAGTGTGAAGATCAAGCAGCTTTGAGGTGCTTCCCTGGGGCTGAATGAAATGGAGCTGAGAGAAACTAAGCTTAACCTCGGTGGAGAGGATGGTTATTCCAATGCTGCTTTTGAGGTACGTAGGACCTTGTGTTTTGGCTCTGGTTGCTGCAGCTGCTTTAACCACAACCAATATGTTTATTAGCCTTCAGGTTGAGAGACAATCTTTCCACACACCTTTTGGGTATTTGGACTGGTGCTTAAAGAAGCAATTAAGATTAGTGGTAGGGGGAGAGCTTGTTAAAGATTTAGCTCTTATAAAGTCTTTAAAACTAGTTTGCTTTCCTCCAGAGCTTTCTATTGTGTTGAGGAACCTGAAAAGTCTCTTTAGCCTTAGCCTGCTTAGGTCTCAACTTTATTCCGTCACTTAGTCAGTCAGTCATAAAGCATTTATTAAACCCCTGCTACTGTGCTAAGTAAGGTCTAGGGATACAAAGAAATACAAAGGACAGTTCTTGGTCTAGCTTTCTTAGCTTTCAGTCAAAACAGGTAGACAATGTTAAAATATAATTGAATACAAATAGATAGTCAACAGAAAGAAGGGACTAGCATTTAAGGGAGTTCTGGAAAAAACCTTGTAGAACCGGATTTTAGCCGGAAGTCAAAGAAAGCCAGGAGACAAATGAGGAGGGAAAGACCTCCAGGTATGGAATAAAGCTAGTGAAAATGCTGGGATTTATTTTAGAGCTGGAAAGGATTTACATATAAAGAAACTGAGATGCTGGGAAATGGGAATGCTGCCCTAAAATCACATAGTTGCTCTCTATCTCTATGCTGGAAATGTTGAATGGCTAGAGAGCCAAATTTGCAGTCAAGAAGACCTGGGTTCAAATCCTATTGATGAGGTTCAGGAGCACCCCAAAGTGTTGGAGTTCAAGGTTGTCTCGAAAGAGATTGCTCAGGCTGTCTCCAAATCAAATACAGGCATTTCTTGGGGTAACACAACACAACACAATATACCAAGCAGGCTTTTCTGCCCCTTAAGGGAGATACAGCTTAAAGGAGACCCAAAGGAGACCCAAGGGAGATGGGTCCATAAAAGAGACCCAAGCTGTATTTCCCTTAAGGGGTGGAGGAGCCTGCTTGGTCTGTAGTGTTACCTTTGAAAGCCTTTATTTGATCTGGAGACTGCCTGAGTGAATTCTGTCCAAGACAACCTTGCACCCCAATGTTTTGGGTACCCCTGAACCTCATCACTATCTCTACTGTCTAATAGCTATGTGACCATGGACAAATCACTTCACTTGTCTTTGCATTTCAGTTTCTTCATCTTCCAGCAGAATGCAAACTTCTTGAGGGAACAGACTGCTTTGTATTTGTTTTTGCATTCCTGGACCTTTAGCATAAAACCTTGAATGTGATAATTAAAGGGAGGTAGTCTCTACCTCACAGAGCTGCCAGGAGCTCCAAATGAAATAATTCATATAAAATACTTCAAACCTTTCCTCACCTCCCACCCCACCCCCTACATATCTGTGATTTCATTGTTAGAGGAAGTTTTCCTGCACCAAAGGCGTTTGGTACCTGCCCTGAAACTCCCAATCATGGCTGCCTAGGGACAATGAGAGAGGTTAACCTCTCTTAAGAGACTTCCCCGGAGCCACCAGTCTCACAGCCAGTATGGGTCAGGGGAGGGTCCAAGGCTGCTTCTTCTGCATTAAATATACCATTGGCAAGCTTACAAGTGCCCGATGCATGTTAATGCTTATATTTCTCTTAACCAATTTAGGGTAAGGTTGAACTAAGAGGTATAGGATCATAGGTATGTAGAGATCTTACAGGCCATCTAGCCCAACCCCTTTATTTTACAGATGAGGAAACTGAGACTCAGAAAGAGTAAAAAGTATCTAATAAGTAGCAAGTGGAAGAGTCAAAATTTGAATCTGGGTCTTGGTGATAAGCACTCTTCTATTCAGTGTCTGAAACCCTGTCTGTACTACTAGTGAAATCCACAGTAACAAGGCAAATTCTGCTTTCCCTTCCAAACCACCATCACAAAACAAAGTAAACAAACAAACAAAAACTAGCCACAAGTGCACCTTAACCCATTATCTGGTCCATGATCTAACCTTACCTAGAAAGGCTCAGTATAGCAGAAAACCCTCCTAGTTTGCCCATTGTAAGCAAAGCATTCCAGTTTCTTAGGCAGCTAACCAGTGGGGAATGTTTGCACAGGCCAGCACCAGGCTGCACTGAGCAGTTCCTGCTGTTCTGAGACTCTGGGGGTTGGAGAGTAAAAATTGTCCTCTGAGCCGGCTAACCCTTTGGCAAGGGGGATGTTCAACTTGCTTCACACTGATTGAGCAATCCTGGGAATGGCTCTGTTCCACCCCACACTTCTAGGCAATGCCTAGGAGTGCTTCCCCCATCAAGCAAGCCACAGGAGGAATAAAGGGAGAAGAAACTAACTCTAAAACCTCCAGGACCAAATCTTCTGTTTAGCTTTTAGATTTCTTCACCACCCAACCTTTCCAGCCTTTTTAGTCTTTTCTCCCCTCCTTACTGTTTCTCGAATAATAACAATAACCAGATTCATGTTATGCTTTTAGGGTTTATAAAGCATTGTACGTAGGGTTATCTCACTTCACCCTCACAACAGCCCTGTGAAGTGGGTGCTATTATAATCCCCAATTTACAGATGAGGAAACTGAAGCATACAGAGGTTAAGTGACTGTGTCCAAGGTACCACACACAGCTAGTATCTGAAATGGCATTTCAATTCAAGTCCTCCTAATTTCCTGAGCTTCCTCAGCATAGCACTCCCATCTCCTGACTGCCTTTTCACTTGCTGTCCCCCAAGCCTGGAATGTTCTCCCTCCTAACCTCTGTCTCCTGTCTTCTTTCAGGAGACACAGTTCAAAGGCTACCTTCTCCAAGTCCTTTCCCAATTCCTGCCATAACCCCCGCCTCCCTGCCCACTGCTAATGTTCCCTGATTTACCCTGTATGTATCTTTATACAAAGTTGTTAGCATGATCTGTCCCCTATTGGAATACAAGCTCTTTGAGATGTTAGGATCTGTGGTTCTGCCTTTCTTTGCATCCTTACTGCTTAGCACCTTTGCCTGCTACATAATAAGTTCTTAAATATTTGTTGGCTGACTAAATGAATAAATGAAAAGAAAAGGGCAAACTAGAAAGGGAAGAAGGAGAAAGAATCAGAATGGGGAGACAGAGGTTGCTATAGCTGGAAAAAATTTCCTCAGACAATTCTGGCTGTAGGCAGTTATATTGGCTCTTATAATTCTGCTTTAGGCATGTCAAAGTAAGATTAGCTCTCCTTCTGGGCCTCCAGTGACAAAAGCCCAGTTGATTCAGAACTGTCCCTCTGTAGCTCCTCTCCCCATTCACAGCTTGGTTGTCCTGACTCCCATTTCCTGAGACTCCTTGACTGCTTCTAAAAACAAACAAACAAACAAAATAAAACTGACTACAGACAATGGTCAAAAAAGGTATACTGTGTTTTAAAAATAAACAAGATGTTTGCCTGTTAGCCAGTAATTCCTAACCAGGAAAAGTTTTCATCTAAAGGAATTAGTCTCAATGGTACCTTTTAAGGTTTCCCAGTAAGGAAGCTATTTGGACGAATGGATTGCCTTAACACATGCTCTGAAAATTATACCATGCAGTATCCTACTTTACCAGTATTGTTGATAAGAGGTAGTCCTTATCAACTCACTATCCCACTTCTACAACAGCTCTTCCAAACCTTTTCATCCCTCCTCTAACCTCCCATGGTTCCCTCTCCCTCAACTTTGAGCTAAGAACGTTGTCTCATACTTTGCAGGAAAAAAAAATGAGGCCATTCACCAAGAACTCCTCTCTTCTTCATCTCCTATACTCAGGTGCGCTCCTGCCCTGTTTCTCCTCCTTCATCCCTGTTCCACATGATGAAGTGGCATTATTCCTTACCAAGACTAACTCCTGTAATTGTTCAGGCAAGGCCATTCTATCCCATCTCCTCCAACAGATTGCCCTGTCATCCCTACTCTTTCAGTTATTTTTTTTTTAGGCAATTGGGGTTAAGTGACTTGCCCAGGGTCACACAGCTAGTTAAGTGTTGTGTGTCTGAGGCTGGAATTGAACTCAGGTCCTCTTGACCACAGAGCCCCTGCTCTATTCACTACACCACCTAGCTGCCCAAACCTTTCAGTTATTTTCAATCTTTCCCTCTCTGCTGGTTCATTTCATACTGCCAACAAACAAGTCCATATCTCCCCTAATCTGAAAAAAAACCCCACCACTTCTGTCTCTGACAACTTGTCTTATCTCTTCTACTCTTTATAGCTAAAGTCCTGGAAGAGCCTGTCTATAATAGGTGCCTCCACTTTCTCTCCTCTCTCTCTTCTTAACCCTTTACAATTGGGCTTCTGTCTTTATCATCCTACTCCAAAGTTGTTTGTGATCTCCTAGCTGCCAAATCCTATGGCCTTTTCTCAAACCTCCTTCTTGGCCTCTCTGCAACCTTTGGCATTATTTGGCACATCTCTCTCTCTCTCTCTCTCTCTCTCTCTCTCTCTCTCTCTCTCTCTCTCTGTAGGTTTTTAGGTGCCTCTCAGGGTTCTGTCCAGGGCCCTCTTCTCTTCTCCCTTTCTACCACCTCACTTGGTGATCTCATTAGCTCCCCTGGATTTAATGACCGTCTCTATGCTGATGACTCTCAAATCTACCTGTCCTGTCCCAATTTCTCTGCTGACCTCCAATCTCACATCTCCATCTACCTTTCAGACATCTCCAACTGGATGTTCAAAAATAATTTTAAACTCATTATATGCAAAACAGAACTTATTATCATTCCCCTTAAACACTACCCCATCCCTCCTACCTTTTTCTATTACTGTAGAGGACAATACCATTCTTCCAGTCCTTCATTATCTTTCACCTTACCCCCTATATCCAGTCTGTCTGCTAAGGCCTGGAGATTTCACCTTTGCAACATCTCTTGAATGCAACACTTTCTCTCCTCTGATGTTGCCATCACTCTGGTGGAGGCCCTCATTACCTCATGCCTAGATTATTGCTACAGGTGAATCTGCCTGCCTTAAGTCTCTCCCCACTCCAACCCATCTTCCATTCAG